AAGTAAAATACCCCGAATTCTATCATCTGGAAACACAGCATTGTTTTTGGAGCACATCCTTCCAAAAAAAAAAAATTTTTTTTTTTTTTCTGAGACAAGAGTCTCGCTCTTCTTGCCCAGGCTGGAGTGCAGTGGCGCAATCTTGGCTCACTGCAACCTCCACCTCCTGAGTTCATGTGATTCTCCTGCATAGCTGGGATTACAAGTGCCTGCCACCACGCCTGGCTAATTTTTGTATTTTTAGTAGAGGCAGGATTTCACCATATCAGCCAGGCTGGTCTCGGACCTGTCTCAGTCTCCCAAAGTGTTGGGATTATAGGTGTGAGCCACTGCACCTGGCCCCACCCCCCAAATTTTTTTGTGGTAAAATATTCATAGCATAAAATTTATCATTTTAAGCATTTTAAAGTGTATACAAATTCTACTTTTTTTTTTTTTGAGACGGAGTTTCGCTCTTGTTACCCAGGCTGGAGTGCAATGGCGCGATCTCGGCTCACCGCAACGTCCGCCTCCTGGGTTCAGGCAATTCTCCTGCCTCAGCCTCCTGAGTAGCTGGGATTACAGGCAAGTGCCACCATGCCCAGCTAATTTTTTGTATTTTTAGTAGAGATGGGGCTTCACCATGTTGACCAGGATGGTCTCGATCTCTTGACCTCGTGATCCACCCGCCTCGGCCTCCCAAAGTGCTGGGATTACAGGCTTGAGCCAGCGCGCCCGGCGAGCAGCTGGAGTTCTAAACAACACAGTTTTGAGGCCCTTCCAAGGTGGTCTGGAGGGCTTCCAAGAGGAGGTGAGAAATACAGAAGGTCTTGGAGGTAACAGAGGGTTCAGTTAATGGAGAGGAAGCAGCAGGAAGGGGCATTCTGGGAGATCCTGCTGGGGGAATGAGGTTTGGGGACCGAGTCCCAGGAAATCTCAGGTGGGGCGACTCCCAGGTCCAGATGCCCTTGCAGGCTTGCACTGTGTCTGCCAGGAGGCAAGTGCAGGACACTGGGGCTCTCATTACAGTCCAGAGAAGCAATGGGCTCCTGGCTGCCACCTTTTCCAAGAAGCTGACTTTTGAGGAATCCGCCTGCCGCGGGAATCACACCACGTTTGCACTGGCCTCAGCTGTTGATTACGCCATCATCCACGCAGCCAGCTTTCAGGAAGAACACTCTCTTCCTCACAGCATGTCCCCGCTCCTGTTTTCATGTTTATGGCATCAGGTGGTTTGCAGAGTGCTCCACACCCAGATGTGTGCACCGAGTGAGGTCAGCTGAGAAAACAATAGCCTGCTTACCACGCTGCTGTCCCCCTCGTTCTGGAAGCTACAGGTTGGGGCCACCATCACCCCTGGGCACACCCCCAACTCTCACCTTCAGCGCCCCCAGTGCCTCCCGCTTCCCTTCTGCTTCCCTTCCAGCCTCTCGATTGCCCAGACTGTTGTTTATCAACACAGACCAGAACATTCTGCTGCCAGAAGAAAGACACATGGTGGTGGTACTGCTACCCACACCCTGCTGTCAACACACTCCCACGCACTGTTTGCCGCTGTTTCAGAGCCCTGCGCGCACACACATTCTCACCCGAGCCTGCCAGCACAGCTGTTCCCCGCTGCCGGGAACCAGGCCCTCCATCCCGCACGACACACATGTTCTCTGGGTTTTTCTCAATGTAGTGTGTGTGCTCATGGTGGAGGCACACACTGTGAACCAGGCCGGCACACACTCTTCCCTCCAACGCAGGCTGGGGATCTATCACTTGCTACTGTGTGACCTTGGGCCGTGGACTTCACCTCTCTGTGCATCAGAGGCCTCATTGTAGAATGGGGATAATGACGACCTATCGAAGATAAATATCCATAGCCTCTCTAAGGGCTTTCTATGTGGGCTTTTCCGCACAGTCTGTGGTTTGGACAGAGAGCAGGCACCCAGGAAGTGCTGAATCAGCAGGAGCCTTGTGGGTGGGGTGAGTATTGTTGGAGCCTCTCTGGAATCTGGCCAGTGATTTTCCTCTCCCAGGCCGGCTGGCAGCCTCATCTCATGTTCAAAGCGTCCTGGCTGCCTGACCCTGACCCTGGGATGTCACCTGTCTGCTACCCAGTTTTCACCAGCGAAATGGGCATAACAACCGCCTCAGAAGAAGGGTCCCCTCTGCTCTGCCTTTTGCTCACCCTCCTCTGCCCTCCCCCTGACATCGGCAGCCCTTCTGTGCCTTGTCTCTTCAACCTGGTCTCTCCTTCTTGGCGAGCAAACCTGCTGCACTCTTTTCTTTCTTTCTTTCTTTCTTTTTTTTTTTTTTTTTGAGTTAGAGTCTTGCTCTTGTTGCCCAGCCTGGAATGTAGTGGCTTAATCTCAGCTTACTGCAACCTCTGCCTCCTGAGTTCAAGCGATTCCCTTGCATCCGCCTCCCGAGTAGGTGGGCTTATAGGCACATGCCACCACACCTGGCTAATTTTTGTATTTTTAGTAGAGACAGGATTTCACTACGTTGGCCAGGCTGGTCTCGAGCTCCTGACCTCAGGAGATCCACCCACCTCAGCCTCCCAAAGTGCCGGGATTACGGGCGTGAGCCACCACGCCTGGCTCCAGTCTTTTCTATTCTGGGAAACAGAGAGATGGATGCAGAAAGGAAAGAACATAAATGTGGTTTGAGGATTGAGAGAAGTCTGGGCTGAGCAGGAGAGCACCCTGGCTGTCCCTGAGGAGCAGGTGCTGCTGTGGGTGGAGCACCAAGTCAGGCCATGCTGGAGAGCCAGTGCCTGGGGGGTACTTCGCCTAAGCAGCACCTCCTTACTTCCTGCTGTTGGTGGAAATCTGTAGGCAGGTCCTGTCCTGGTCTGAGCAGCTGTGGCTTTCCCCTTTTCCTGCATGCAGAGACTTTCAAGTTCCAGCCACCACTGGGAGCCACTGGAGAGCTGTTGGCTCCAGAGCACCATGATAAATGGGCTGCCCCTAATCATTGGGATCCCATGTGAGAGTACAAATGGAGAACCACACGCCAGGTGTCTACATATTCAAAATGTATACACCAAGCTTAATCTGCCGTCATGACCAGGTGTGGTGGCTCACGCCTGTAATCCCAGCACTTTGGGAGGCCAAGACGGGAGGATCACCTGAGCTTGGGAGTTTGAGAACAGCCTGACCAACTTGGAAAAACCCCATCTCTACTAAAAATAGGAAATTAGCCAGGTGTGGTGGCGCATGCCTGTAATCCCAGCTACTTGGGAGGCTGAGGCAGGAGAATCATTTGAACCTGGGAGGTGGAGGTTGCAGTGAGATCATGCCATTGCACTCCAGCCTTGGCAACAAGAGCGAAACTCTGTCTCAAAAAGAAAGAAGGAAGGAAGGAAGGAAGGAAGGAAGGAAAGAGAAAGAAAGAGAGAGAAAGAAGTCATCTGTCATATAAAGTAAGTTTTATCTTCCAGCTTCCTGAATGTAGCTTCAGAAAAATCTGGAAAGCCAGGTTTGAATCTGGATTTTTTTGGACTCTTCAGAGTCCCTCTCTGGAGCTCTGGGGCAAGGAAGAGAGGGGCCGGCCAGGCGACATGAGAAGTTGGGCTTTAAGGTAGTTGGTTTATTGGATGCAAATACAAACTGTTTGAATCTGATCAATACTTTATACTTTTTATTTTCTCCTGGCCCATATGCCAAAAGATCTAGAAGGCAGTTTAGCAGTTTAATTAAGATCCTTAGGCTGGGCGCGGTGGCTCAAGCCTGTAATCCCAGCACTTTGGGAGGCCGAGGCGGGTGGATCACGAGGTCAAGAGATCGAGACCATCCTGGTCAACATGGTGAAACCCCGTCTCTACTAAAAATACAAAAAAATTAGCTGGGCATGGTGGCGCGTGCCTGTAATCCCAGCTACTCAGGAGGCTGAGGCAGGAGAATTGCCTGAACCCAGGAGGCGGAGGTTGCAGTGAGCTGAGCTCAGACCACTGCACTCCAGCCTGGTGACAGAGCAAAACTCCATCTTAAAAAAAAAAAATGAATGGTTAAAATGTATATTTTATGTATACGTTATTATACCGTTGTATTGATTTGCTAGGGCTGATGTAACAAATTACTGCAAACTGGGAGGCTTAACCGGCAGAAATGTGTGGTCTTGTAGCTCTGGAGGCTGGAGGTCCAAGGTGAAGGTGTCAGCAGGATTGGTTCCTTCCTAGGGCTGGGAGGGAGAAGCTGTCTTTGGTCTGGCTCTGGAGGCTTCCTGGCCATCATTGGCATGACTTGGCTGGTGGAAGCATCACCCCTCCAGCCTCTGCCTGTATTTTCACATGGCTCTGTCTCTCTCTCTCTCTCTCTCTCTCTCTCTCTCTCTCTCTCTCTCTCTGTGAGTGTGTGTGTGTGTCCAAAGGTCCCCCTTTTATAAGGACACTGGTTACACTGGGTTGAGGTCTACCCTACTGACTTCATTTTAATGTAGTGACATCTGTAATGACCCTGTCTAAATATTTCCAAATCAGGTCATATTCTGAGGTACTGGAGATTAGGACGTCAACACAGGAGTTTTGAGGGAACACTATTCAACTTGTAGCAACCACAATGGAAAAAAAAAGTGTCGACCTTGTACTCGCTATCAGATGATAGACGGGGAAAACGCATTTTGTGAAGTTTCAGGCCTTTGGTCATAGTAGAGCTTCAAAACGTGCTTCTTCATTTGTGTTTAAATCTGATACCAAGCAGTTGAAAGGGTAGAAATCTCCCATTCTCCAAGATGAGTCCTCTCCCGGCCATGAACTAAGGGATTTTTCAATGATCAGCATTATTTCCAGACAAGTACTTAATAAACTTTGTAAAAATAGCTACCTGCCTTGTACATTTTTTTTTTTTTTTTTGAGACGGAGTCTGGCTCTGTCGCCCAGGCTAGACTGCAGTGGCTCAATCTCAGCTCACTGCAACCTCCACCTTACAGACTCAAATGATTCTCCTGCCTCAGCCTCCTGAGTAGTTGGAATTACAGGCGAGCGCCAGCATACCCAACTAATTTTTTTTTTTTTTAACTCTAAGGCATTTTATTATAAAAAGTTAATACTCATATACATAAAGTAATATGTACTTAAAATGCATGATACATTTACTTCATTTTTTAGCTTGACCTTCTAGTAGATCCTTAGCTTCATTTATTTTGGCTGCTATATAAGGAGATCCTCCTTTGTCAGGATGATTTAAAAGCATAATTCGTCGATGAGCATCTCTTATTTTCCCTTTATTGGCAGTAGGGCTTACACCTAGTATTAATGCTGCTTCCCGTTTTGTCATTTTGGGTTCAAACCCACCTCTGTAATAGCCACCACTGAAGGCAGATTTTGGTAGACTTTGAAAAACTTGTTTTACTTGAGGCTCCATATGCTTCATGGCTTGCAAAACATAACGGCCTGCAAATCCTGCAGCTGCAATGGTCAGTCCAACTGCTACCATTGTACTGGCCATGGCCTCTGCCGCGAGCCCGGCTCATTTCCGCGCAGAGGCCGCGGCCGCCGCCCGCACGCCGGGAGCAGAGCGACCCCAACTAATTTTTTTGTATTTTTTTTTTTTTTTAAGAGAGGGAGTTTCGCTCTCGTTACCCAGGCTGGAGTGCAATGGCGCGATCTCGGCTCACCGCAACCTCTGCCTCCTGGGTTCAGGCAATTCTTCTGCCTCAGCCTCCTGAGTAGCTGGGATTACAGGCACGCGCCACCATGCCCAGCTAATTTTTTTGTATTTTTAGTAGAGATGGGGTTTCACCAGGTTGGCCAGGCTACTCTCGAACTCCTGACCTCAAGTGTTCTGCCTGCCTCAGCCTCCCAAAGTGCTGGGATTACAGGCAGAGCCACCGTGCCTGGCCTCCTCCATGTAGACTTAATGATGGTTAAGGTTTTTTTGTGTGTGACAGAGTTTCACTCTTGTTACTCAGGCTGAAGTGCAATGGCATGATCTCAGCTCACCATAACCTCCGCCTCCCAGGTTCAAACAATTCTCCTGCCTCAGCCTCCCAAGGAGCCGAAATTATAGCCATGCACCACCACAACTGGGTAATTTTGTATTTTTAGTAAATACAGAGTTTCTCCATGTTGGTCAAGCTGGTCTCGAACTCCCAACCTCAGGTGATCCACCCTCCTTGGCCTCCCAAAGCGCTGGAATTACAGGTGTGAGCCATCATGCCCTGACCTGGTTAAATTTTTACTACATTTGCTTGATCTGTATGAAGTTTTCCTGGTGAGCCATTTGAGAAGTCGCATACTTGAGCATCAGTTTCCTAGGAATATGCTGGTCTCCTTAATCACATTGCCCTTCTCACACGTGAGAAAACTAACAATGGTTCCATAATATCATCTCATATCCAGTTTATACTGAAATTTGACCAGGCTGGTTTTTTAAACATTTTTGAACCTAATGAATTCCAAATCTGTAAAACTTAAGGTGGGTTTTTTTTTTTGGTTTTTTTTTTTTGAGACAGAGTCTTGCTCTGTCACCCAGGCTAGAGTGCAGTGCTATCATCTCGGCTCACTGCAAGCTCTGCCTATGGGATTCAAGAGATTCTCCTGTCTCAGCCTCAGGAGTGGCGGGGACTACAGGCGTGCGCCACCAACCCGGCTAATTTTTTATGGATTTTTAGTAGAGATCAGGTTTCACCATGTTGGCCAGGATGGTCTCAATCTCCTGACTTTGTGACCCATGCGCCCCAGGTTCCCAAATTGCTGGGATTACAGGCGTGAGCCACCACACCCAGCCAAGCTTAAAGTCTTGACAATATTACCTGTGCTATGGGAATTTTGAAGCTTCAAAAAATGCAATTTAGGGCCAGGTATGGTGGCTCACATCTGTAATCCCAGCACTTTGGAAGGCCACGGCAGGAGGCTCGCTTGAGCTCAGGAGTTTGTGATCAGCTTGGGCAATATAGGGAGATCCCATCTCTACAAAAGATTTAAAAATTAACTGAGCTTAGTGGTGAGGGCCTGTAATCCCATCTGCTTGGGAGGCTGAAGTGGGAAGATCACTTGAGCCCGGGAAGTGAGGTTGCTGTGAGCCAAGACTGTGCCACTGCACTCCAGCCTGGGTGGCAGACCAAGACCCTGTCTCAGTAAATAAATAAATAAGCTGGGCATGGTGGCACATGCCTGTAGTCTCCGCTACTAGGGAGGCTGAGACAGGAGGATTGCTCAAGCCTGCAGTGAGCTCTGATCACACCACAGTACTCCAGCCTGGTAACACAGTGAGACCCTCACACCACAGTACTCCAGCCTGGTAACACAGTGAGACCCTGTCTTTAAAAGAAAAAAAAAAAAGAAAAAAGAAAACATTCTAGTTATAGGCCTAGAAGCAAAGAGGGAAAAAAAAAAAAAAGAAAAAAGAAAATGCAATGTGGCCAGGTGCAGTGGCTCATGCCTGTAATCCCAGCACTTTAGAAGGCCAAGGCCGGTGGATCGCCTGAGGTTGGGAGTTCGAGACCAGCCTGGCCAACATGATGAAACCCCATCTCTACTAAAAATGCAAAACTTAGTCACAGTGGTGCATGCTTGCAATTCCAGCTACACAGGAGGCTGAGGAAAGAGAATCGCTTGAACCTAGGAGGCGGAGGTTGCAGTAAGCTGAGATCACGCCGCTGCACTCTAGCCTGGGTGACAGAACAAGACTCTGTCTCCAAAAAAAAAAAAAAAAATGCAACTCAACATGTAAAACTCTTTCTGGCCAAGCCACGGTGTTTCTTTTCCTTCATTTCCTTTCACTCACAAGCTCTTTTGAATGCTCAAATGTGTGCTTGGGGTGGGGTGTCTCTGAAATTCCTTTTAATCTAAGACAATGGCCTTCCAGGAGTACCTGCAGGAAGACCTGTTAAGACTGGCCCGAGACCTCCTAGACTTGCCTGGGACCTCCCTGCAGGAGTTGCCAAAGGGAGCAGGGAGGGAAAGGAGGTTTGCCCTTGCCCTTGCCCTTGGCCTTGGTTTGGGGTGGAGACATCCAGGCTGAGAACTTCCCCCCTCCATAGCTGGCCAAGTTCCAATCTGGCATGGCTGTCCCTGCTGCATTGTCATGGGCTCTTTTGGGGGAGTTCCGGACAGCACCGCTGTGCAAAAGATCGTCCTGGTCTCCAGAAAGTCGGCTCCAAATGACACCGAGGAAAGAAAGAGGAAATCTCTGCAGTGTATTTCCCTGAGTTTTTGAGGAACAGTCCTCTTTCCCATCTTTCCCTCCCTTCTCTACAAATCCAGGGTTCAGGATTAAGCCCTGGGTTTGTAAAACCGCTTCACAACTAGGAATGGCATTAATTAGCAACACTGTACAAATAAAAAGGGGGGCCAACAAGGATGGAGGGCGTTGGGGGAGACTGTGGTTGGCGATCCCAGGCCACCTTCCTCCTCCAGCTCCCACGCTTGCTTCAGCTGGGCTGCAAGTTCCTGCCAATGTATTTCTGCTTGGGACAGGAGCCAAGGGTCAGATAAAGTTCCAACTGTATTTTGCAGCAGGCCTGACACTTGGCCCAGTGCTCTAGGCCTGTGACAGTGCCAGGATAGTATGTTGGGAAAGCCAGTCCAGAAGGAGCTGGTTTAAATGCGTTTGAGGGAGCAGGCAGTTGACTAACCAGACAGTTCAGCAACACAACACTCGGTCACATCGTCGGACCAATGGGGACACAGAAGGCCTGCACGCCATTCCCAGGAAGCCCCCAGCAGCCACTGTGCTAATCCCTCAGCATTTCAGGGACCAAGATCTGTAGCCCCAGACAACTTTGTTGTCTTTAGTAAGACAAGTAAACACTGAACACTGAGTGTGCTTACACCAAGCACTTTATATGCATGATCTAACGGAATCCTCAGCACAGCGGATGAGGGAGTTACTATTTTCCTAGCCATACAGATAGTAGATGACATTACAGGAAACAGACACAGTGTATATGAGGATCTCTTCTAAATGCTTTCCACCCATTAACTAATTTTCTGGAGAAACTGAGGCAGAGCAGAAGCAAAGCCAGTTGTCCAGTGTCACACAGCTGGTGGGTGTGGACCTGAAACCACTGGAAACTGGGTGATTCCAGAATGGAGGGCCCACCCCTGCACCACCCCTCAATTTTCCAGGTGGGGAAACAGGTTCAAAGACAGGGGAAGGGAAACCAGGGTGAGATGGGTTAGTTCAGATGAGGGCAAAGTTTGCAGTCTCTTCTGCTTCCTAACCAGCATGAGAGGCGCCCATGGGAACAGAACTCAGACATCCGACCCTGAGCCCTCTGCCACTCTTCCTTCCTCTCCTCCGGCCCAGTTGGTCTGAACTGTGTTGTTCCAGGCCTCACGGGAGCTGCTGTGGGACACGGACTGGGCAAGAGTCCTTTTGTTCACACAAGGTTGTCCCTGGCGGGCCAGGAGCAGTGCCTCACCCCTGTAATCCCAGCACTTTGGGAGGCCAAGGCGGGCAGATCATCTGAGGTCAGGAGTTCGCTACCAACCTGGCCAATCTGGTTGGCCTGAAATCCTGTCTCCACTAAAAATACAAAAGTTAGCCAGGCGTGGTGGTGCATGCCTGTAACCCCAGCTACTTGGGAGGCTGAGGTGGGAGAGTCATTTAAGCCTAGAAGGTGGAGGCTGCAGTGAGCAGAGATGAAGGCATTGGATTCCAGCCTGGGTGACAGAGCAAGACTCCATCTCGAAAAATAAAAATCAAAAAAAGGTTGCCTCTGACTCTTCTTGACTCCTAGGCACCCTGAGGGCAGTGAAAAGCTGCATGGTGTGCCTCCCACAGCCGAGGCTCTGTCCTGAACCCGGAAGTGAGCCAGCTGGACCCAGCCTTGCAGGAGGCAAGGCTTCCTGTCACGTTGAAGCTCTGCTGATAGCCCAAGGCCACCTGCAGCGACAACACGTGGTGGGTGGAGATGGTGGCCTGGTGTCCGTCCGCCACTGTCATTGTCCTTACCAGCTCTGCTTTCACCTGCACCAGTGGACAAACCCAGGTACCAGAGGGGCTGCTGCCGTCTGTCCCTCTCCCTGGCCTCAGGCAAGAGCATCAGGGCTAGACTCAGAAAGGAACATCAGGCCTGGCTTCAGGGTGCCTCTCGGCATGCTCAGATGGGCAGGACCAGAGACCAACAGAGGAGATCATCTTTAAGCAGGGCTTGAATATACAATAAACCATGCAGAAATCTGCAACTTCCTTTTCGGGGGTGGGGCAAATTAGGTTGGTTTTTTGTTAAGTTTGCAGACATATCTGTGTATTTAGATACATGCACATCCCCCCACCCCCTTTTTTTAGAAAATGTTCCCATGTTTTTGCTAATCATTCATTCTTTCTTCCTTTCCATATTTATTTATTTTTATTTACTTATTTATTTATTTTTTTGAGTCAGAGTCTTGCTCTTGTTGTTCAGGCTGGAGTGCAATGGTGTGATCTTTGCTCACTGAAACCTCTGCCTCCCAGGTTTAAGCAATTCTGTCTCAGCCTCCTGAGTAGCTGAGATTACAGGC